CAGGGCCCCACCGGCACAGAAGCGACTGTCCCCCCACCTGCCTGGGCTGTGCCCTCAGCTACTCAGCTCCTCCCCGCAGCCCCCTCACCGGGGCCCCTGGGCTTCTGGGCTCCGCTGTCCTGGACGGAAGCCCCGTGGCAACCAGAAAGCATTTTATATAAGTGAGCCTCTCCTCTCCCTCTAGACCGTGGGCATCCCCGCGGCAGAAACCGTACTTAATTTCTCTTAGTGTTTTTTATTTTTTCAGTCTCTTTATTCTTGTTCCTGAAGCTCAGCAAACTGGGTTGAAGGCTCTAAGATGACATATCCATGTGTTTTCGGACTCAAGCATCCTCGGGGGCTGCCCCACCCCTCCCTCACCCCTGACTGTTGAGGCTCTGAGGGCCCCTCCCCAGGAAACTCGATGCTCACAGCACTGCCTCTCGCTTAGAAATTTTATTGGTCCCGGGGAAAGGGAGGCAGGCAGCCCCCACCTCCTGCCAAGGGTGCTGCAAGCTCTCACTGCTTCCCATTGCCATTGATGGGGCGGTTCACGTGCTCCGGGGAGGCCAGGAAGGCCTTGAGCTTGGGCCGGGCGCTGAGGCGCGCCACGTAGGCCGAGAGCAGAGGGAAGGAGTCCAGGCAGCCGGGAGCCAGGACCTGGTGATTCAGCAGCAAGTCCAGCAGGTTGTAGTCCGCGAAGGAGATCTGCAGGGCAGGGGCGTGAAGGGGCTCAGGAGCTGGGAGCCTGGAAGCCTGAGCCGTTCCCTCAGTCTGGCCCGTTCTGAGCAACAGGCTCCTGTGTTCTCTCTGCACCCGTTTCCCATCTGCAAGAGGGGGGTGGGGCGGAGGGGCAGCACAGAGCCAGACGCTCACCTGGTCACCAATGATGAATGCCTGGCCCCCCGCGTTCTGGGACAGCAGGGTCTCAAAAGGCTTCAGCTGCTCCGGCAGCGCCTTCACATATTCCTGCTTGCCTCCCTCCTGCCAGAAAGACACCATCGCACGTTACCCTCCTGACCCTCCCACCGTGGCCCACCCCAGCCCCTGTCTCAGCCCGGAGACGACCCCCTTCTTTTTGCCCTATTTCAGTGACTCCCCATCCACCCAGGCCGGAGCCCCGGGGCTCCCCTGCCCCCTTCCCATCCCCAGAGCCACACCACATCCTGTCCAGTTCAGCCATGGAGTCTTCTTTACCCCACCCCCACCTCTCCGCCTGTGCCGTGGTCCCCCACCGATCTACTCCAAAAGTCTTGGAAGATCCTTCTAGATCTCACATTCGTACACGGCCCTGCTTAGATGCCTCGATGGCTCCCCACTGCCATCAGGGGAGTGTCCAGCCATCCAGTTCAAGCCCTCCGGATCCGGGGCCGCTGCTCTTCCGGTTTCAACGCCGGCCACTCCCTCTCCCTCTCCCACGGGCACACACACGGCTCGTCCCTGCTAAATTGGCCCCTGGTCCCCCCCCAGATGTGCCCGTGTCAGCACACTTCCTGCACCTGGAATTTTTGCACCTCCAAGGGCCAGCGCCCACTTCGGGAGGCTGGCTACAGACCCTCCCCCTCCCCCTCCACGAAGAAGCCCGGCCTGGACGGAGGCAAGTCTTTCTTTGTTCCCGGCCGTGCCCACCCCTGGCGCCCGGGCTCACATAGTTGGTGTAGATGAGGGTGGCATATTTGCAGCGAAGATCCTCCACCCCGTCATTCACCACGTCCACCAGGGCTGCCTCCCGCTGGTCCTTCCCGTACAGCCCTGGGGAGAGAGTCCGCACACGGCATGACTGGGGGTCTGACATGACAGGCGACGTGGGCACAGAGGGGAGAAGGGAGGAGGGTCCTGACGCACAGTAGGCGCTCAGGACTCAGCAGGAGGCGAGAGCTGCAGGCAAACCCACGCCTGTCTGTGAGCAAGGTGACCTCCTCCTGCCTGTTTCCTCCGTTCCCCAGCGGTCGCCAGGCAGCCTGCTTCGTACGGAAGAGGTTCAAAGGGTGGGCAACAAGCGGGCGTGCCGAACGCGGGCTGATGCCTGCCCGCCTCTGCCCTGGGCCACCTGCGGCTTTGCGACTCACCAAAGGTGCGGCCCAGGTGTCGCAGGATGGCATTGGACTGGTACAGAGTGAGGTCTCCGTCCTGGAACTTGGGGAGCTGCCCGTACAGCTGCGGGGGGTGGGGGGGACAGCTCTGTCAGAGACGCTGAGCTGGGCTGCCCCCCCTCCCCCCGCGCTGCCCAGCCCCCGACCCCCCCTCTGGGCACCGGAGCCGCTCACACAGGAGGCCTTGAGTGGGCCCTGCAGCCAGGCGTCCTTGGTCACCACCTCTTCCTTCCAGCTCTGGCCCTGGTCGGCCAGCAGCATGCGCATGGCCTCGCAGCGCCCTGGGGGAGGGGAGACCAGGGTGGTGGGATGCGCACAGACCCCAGACTCAAAGCACGCTGGGGAGGGGGCGTGGGGGCAGGGACTCCGACGACGACCTCACTGGACACTAGGGAGGGGACGGGCCACGGTGAAGAGATTGGATATTCCAGCCCAGGGAGCGCAGGGGAGCAGGGTAGGAGGCCCCAGCCAGGACCCACGTGATGGAGGGGCGGGGGGGGGGGAGCGGGGATCTGCAGCCCCGACCTCTGCCTCCCCCTGCTGCCAGTCACGCGGCGCCTACCTCGAACGGGAAAGTAGACAATGGTGTAGGGCGGCACTGGAGCGGATGGAGAGAAGTCTGTTAGAGTCTGGGAGAAGGGTATTACGGAAGGGAGAGAGCACCAGTCCGTCCTCCCTGGGGTCCCCTGGCCGGCCCTGGGCCCTCGAGGGGGCCCGTAGGAGCAGGTCCCTGCGCGGGAGGCGCCGCCCCACCCCCACCCCGCCCCCCGAGAGCCCCAACCGCGCGCTGCAGGCGTCGTGGGTCTCCTGGATCCCCTTCCCGGAGCTGGGGTAGGGAATCGGGCTGGGGGTGGGGGGGCAGAGCCTTCCAGGAACTCTGGCCCGAAGCCGGGGTCCGGCCTCCAGCCGGGAGCAATGCGAGGCCCCTGGCAGCCCCCCGGGAGGCCCGGGCGGCGGGACTCACTGGTTACAGCGCGAGCAGCGGCGGCGCGGGCGGCGGTGGCGGCGCAGGCGACGAAGCTCACACCCTGTCCGGCCTCCAGCCTTATAAGGCTTGTCCCGCCCATCCCCGTCCCGCTCCACCCCAGTGCTGACTCACGGCGCCCCGGAAGCCCCGCTGGCTGCCCCCCTGCGCGCCCGAGCCGCCGGTGGCCCCAGGCCGCCGGCGCGCCCGCGGGAGGCTCCCCCTGCCCGCGCGCCGCGCCCTACGCGTGGCCCCAGGTCTGCGCGCCACACCGGCCTGGCCAGAGCCAGCGCACCAGCGGCGAACCTTCCAGAGCCCTTGGGGTTCGCCCACCGCAGCTGCTTCACCTGCCTGGCTCACAGACCTCAGAGGCACGAACCCTTTGTCCACCGTAAAAATAAAACAGGCAGTTATTTTGCCAGTAAAGTGGGTTTATTGGGGAATAGCGGAGAAGTATTATTTGGGACAAGCGAGCTACGGAGAAACCACAGGCAAGTCCACGAAACAAAGGACAGGAACTCTTCTTCTGAGAGAAGAAGGAGGGAGCCGGCAAGGGCTGCTTTGAAAGAAAAGTCTATTGGAAGAAGGGAAGTGGGGATGGTTTTCATGGGCTGGGCTATGGGGGAGAGAAAATGGTTATTTTCCTCCTAGTGGGATAGTTAAAAAGGAGTCTGTCTTCCTGTGGCGTTTACAGCTGAGGAGTGCAGTCCCCTCTCCCTATTTTAAATGAGGTTTTCTTTATTCAGTTTCACATGTCCCCATTCTGATAAAACTCTTCTCTTCCCACTACGCCCCCCCCCTCAAAAAAAAGCATCCATGATCCATGGATCCATGATCCAAATTGAGTTTTCCAAATTCAGTGGGTTTTTTGGTCCCTTCCTGCCAGGAAGGACCTTTCCGTTTCCTGGGTGTCAGATCCCGCATTGGAAGCAAAGTACAGGGATGGGAAAACCTGAAGCTACGTTAGCAAGGAGGAGTAGGAGGGAGGACTCAGGCATTTCCTGTGTGAAATCTGTATCTTCTCAAAATCCTTCAGGTTGGAGATCATCTCAAAGCATTGAATAGCATCATCTTATTTGGTACATCGTTTCTCCGGTGATTTGACAGGGAACAGCTACAAAGCTTCCAAATAATGATATGAAACATAAAATATACTTAAAGGCAACATGACAGTTCTTAACTGTATGATGGTTCTGAGCTGTGCCTCTAGGCCTGAAGGTGATGAGGGAGCTTGGGGCAATCTGGGGGCAAAATACAAGTACACACACACACACACACACACACACACACACACACATCGGTGGAATATGTGTGATATTCCTTGGACACTCCTGGCTACCCAAGAACAAAGGAAAGGAGTTTAAGTCCTTGCCATGATGATGTGGGAGACTAAGGCAAATGAGAAATTAAATTCCCTTACTGCCTACAGCCCATTAACAAGCCCTTGAAATGGGCAGAGTGACCTCCCTCTAGGAGCTCAGCTGCCTCAATGGCAACACTTCACTGCGGACAAATGAAAACCCTACCTTAACATTATCTGAACCTCCAGAATCCTAGAAGTCAACTTCTTTATCTCAGCCGCCCCAAGATATATGCTGGCGATCACACCCCAAGCTTATGCTCCCCCCATATATATCTAAAGGGTCTCATGACTGAGGTTTTATCAAATGGTAATAAACGGCGTTTCCCTAGCAACAGCGAGCCCTTCAAGGTCCTGGAAACCTTGCTTCCAAAATTCCTTACTTACTCTATCCCTGACCCCCTCCCAACCTGAGGGTATATAAGGAGTTACCCCAGCACAGCTCTTCCTGCCCACGGGTCCTATCCCGGTGCTTTAATAAAATCACCTTTTTGCACTAAAGATGTCTCCAAGAATTCTTTCTTGGCCCTCGGCTCCAGATCACCCCACCATCACCCCAAACTTCACCAAAGGTAGTCAACAAAAAAAGGACCACGGAGAATCGGGTGGAATTTGCTGTAGCCAGAGTGTTTTTTCCTCTCATTCTGTGTAATCGGCTTTGTACCTCCCCTGAGGCGTGTATCTACCTGCAGCAGGTAGGCGATGTTTCCTGTCACACAGATGCTTCATTGTTCAGCAAGTAGATAATCAAGGGCTATGCAATTGTCTCGAACTACCTTGGACAACTTATCCTGAAGCTCGGCTCCTCTGTTGACTGTGGAATTGGCCTGTTCTCTTGATGTTAGGGAGAGATTTCTCATCATGTGTTCACTGGCACTTTCTCCAGCCCTGGGGAGGGAAGTTCTTCCTGCGGCAAACTCAGAATCCTGTCCGTCTCCTGGGAGCTCCTGATCGAGGCAGCTGTGGAGAAGAAATGGCACAGACCGAGGAGGGGGTTCTAGTTTGTTACGAAAGGAAACTGGAATGGTAAACACAGCAAGAGCACCTTGCCCTTTATCTTCCAGCTGTCAATACAGTGAGTGGCCCCAGGCTCGGCTTCATTGTCAAAAACCCCACCTTTAGAGGAGTAGCCAGGGGGGTATGCATAAGGCTGCCTCATAAGTACCATCTATGGACCCCTCAACCTGTATACAGACATAGCACCATTCAGCCAACATCTAGACGCTGTATTATTACACATTGAAAGAGTACCCAGATGTATGCATGTGTCCCTAAACTGACAAACGACCCTATTTATACTGTCGGCCCCACAATAGCTATAGAGATGGATAGATGGCTCGATCAATTGATAGATATTATTTATATTTATATATATTTGAGAGATCTTGTTTTCCCATCCCAGGAATGGGTTACATTGAAGCAAGGGATGGTGTCAGAACTCTAACCCTATAAAAGGGACCTGAGAAACAATCTAGGCACACAGTGGCACTTGGGATTCTGGCGACATCCCTTAGAGAGTGAATTAAGGGATCACTATCATCATAAACAGGTGGAGGTTTCTGGGGACAAATCCGACTATCGGAGAGGTTTCCCCTTTTTGCAGTAGATTGGGAAATGCGGATGAGAGCGTTGTCTGTCTGGAGAAAGCACAGTAAGAAACAGCAGTGAGACCGGGGCACACAGGCCCTCCCACTCACCTTGGGAAAGCTGTCCCCATCGGATATCGTCTGCTTCAATTATTAGAAATCTCTGCCTTCAGGCCACCATTCCGTGTGCAAGTCCAAGTCCCTGAATTCCAGCGGGGGCAGATCTGAGATTTAGAAGGGCCATGCTTTGGGCTAAGGTATTTGAGGCATCTTTACAAACGTTGCCAGCTGAGTCTTACTGACGTGTTAGTGTGTTGATTAGCCCTGAGGGCTCAGGTTGATGTGCCCGGGAAGGTGTAGAAGCACCTGACCAGCACAACTGTCCCAGAGCACCTGACCAGTGAAACAAGTTCCTGCACATTGTAAAACACGGGAGGGGTTCCCCAGGTAGGAAAAACCTTTTTAAGGGGATTTTGGCCACAAAAGAGACCATAGCCTATCTACAAGGAAAGCTTCAGTCCCGTGAGGAAACATGCAAACCATAACCAAAACATATTTATATCCATGAGATGGGGCATTCTAAATAAAATCCACTTGCCAAACCTTGAACGGTCCATTGGGCAATTTTAAATGCCCAGAGGTGCACCCAGGACTGTATTTTGGAAGGTGCGAGGTGTGACAAGCAGGGTGAGCATTTTTTTTGATGGCCTTATTCATATTTCCCTACCAGTGTTGGTTCACACAGGGTATTGTTTTATCAGTAGACCGACGATTTAGAGTATGTACAGCGGTCAGTAATGGGAATTCTAGAGTCTGGCAGGACTAGATTGTATTTGGCTCAAGCTACAGTCCTCTCTTTTTACCAACCCAACAACGATTAGATTTCCAATATAGTTTTCCCCTCTCCAGGCCAATTCTTGGACATCTCTTGTCAAATTTTTCTAGATTATCATTTGGGAGAACTTCCCTTTGGACCATGACAGGGGTTTGGCGTTGGTTTCTTCGAGTGTTTTTGGTAGAAATATCAGCAAGATGGTTTCCTTTGGCCTCCAGGGAGCTGAGTCTGGTAGGCCAGGAAACTTACTAAGTTGAGGATGCCATGAAGCCTCTCTAGATCTCAATGTAGGCCCTGTTCCAAGATCAGGTGCCCTAAATATTGAAACTGGTCTTGAGCAAACTGCAATTTTTTTAGAGAGAGAATTCCCATCCCTTTTGGCTTAAAGTTTTAACAAGTGGGTGCTGTCTTTCTTTGAAGAGTTTTGAGGAAAGCACAGAAGTAAATTATGTACGTACGGTAACAAAGTAGAGTGTACAGAAAACTTTTTTTTTTTTAATTAGAGAGAGAGCGAGAGCACAAGCAAGGGAGAGGCAGAGGGAGAGAGAGAGAATCTCAAGCAGCTCTATGCTCAGTGTGGCCCCATCCCACAGCCCTGGGATCATGACCTGAGCTGAAATCTAGAGTCAGACGCTCAACCAACAGAGCCACCCAGGTGCTCCTTTCTTTTCTTTTTTTAATTTGAGAGAGAGAGAGAGAGAAGAAAACTTTCTATCACCCACATCAGCCTTTAACTTTTGTGTAAAGTATGGACATTCTGTGAAACCCTGAGGCAATCCTGTCCAGGTATGCTGTTCTCCGTCCCAAATGAAGGCGAATAGAGATTGGCTGGCCTTACCCACAGAGGCTCTAAAGAAGGTGCTACATAATTGATCACAATGTATAATTTGCTTTCAGTGAAGATGGAGGCCACTAACGTATGGGGATTAGAAACAGCAGCGTGCCGAGGGACAAGGTTATTGTTTGTGGCCCAGAGATCTTAGACAAACTTCCATCCTTGACCACTGGGGTCTTTTCTCCGGTAAAACAGGGACCAGTGCAGAGGATAGTGAGACCCCAAGCCTTATAATATTTTATGATGGACCTGATGCCTTGAAGGATTTTTTTGGGTGGGGGGGAGAGTATAGGATTAATTCATTCTGAGGGAAGAGTTAAAGGATCTATTTGAATCTTAATGGGAGATGCACTGCGGATTCAGCCAACATGAGCTGAAGACTTGACTCATAAGGAGGGTGGTGACCTGATTAGTGTCCTTGGACTCAGCTCCAATGCCATCAGCGATGGAGCAAGTAGATGATGTTGAAGGGTCAGGGGCACCTGAGTGGCTCAGTCAGTTAAGTGTCCTACTCTTGATTTGGGCTCCGGTCATTATCTTGAGATTTATGAGATGGAGCCCCAACTTGGGCTCTGAGCTAGTAGCATGGAGCCTGCTCGTGATTCTGTGTCTCCCCCTCTCTCTGCCCCCTCTCGGCTTGCAATCTCTCATTCTCTCTTAAAAATAAATCTTAGGGGTGCCTGGGTGGCTCAGTCAGTTGGGCGGCCGACTTCAGTTCAGGCCATGATCTCACGGTTCGTGGGTTCGAGCCCCGTGTCGGGCTCTGTGCTGACAGCTAGCTCAGAGCCTGGAGCCTGTTTCAGATTCTGTGTCTCCCTCTCTCTCTGACCCTCCTCTGCTCATGCTGTCTCTCTCTCTCAGAAATAAATAAAATGTTTTAAAAAAAAGAATAAAAAATAATAAATAAATAAATTTTAAAAGAATACAAAATTTTTTTAAAATCTGCAGTTGATTGTAATAGTTGTGAACAGGTTTATCAGATTTTTGCGTGCAAGTCTGAATTTTGTTCTGGTCTACAGGCTTAGGAAGAGCTACTATAATTGCTTGGTGGAAATTTCCAGCAAGTGTTCGAGCAACTTGCCAAAAGTTAGGGGTCTGTTTCTCTAGATCCCTTTTAGGATTCCCATTGGGCAAGTTCTGAAGCAGTCTCCAGGCTCTGAGCTAGCTGTCAGCACAGAGCCCGACGTGGGGCTGGAACTCATGAACCACGGGATCATGACCAGAGCCGAAATTGGACGTTTAACCAACTGAGCCACCCAGGTGCTGCCAGGGAATTTTTTTTTTAATTGTATGTATTTATTTCTTTATTCAAGTATAATTAACATACAGTGCAGTGGTAGTTTCAGGTGTACAATATAATGATTCAACCCTTCTCTAAATGACTCAGTGCCCATCATGATAAACGTGTTCTTAACCTCTTTCACCTATATCCCCCATCCCTCTGGCAACCATCAGTTTATTGTCTGTAATTAAGTCCAGTTTTTGGTCACTTTTTTCTTTGTTCATTTGGGGTTTTGGGGTTTTTTTGTTTGTTTGTTTTTGTTTTGTCTTGTTTTCTTTTTCTTTTTCTTGTTTTTTTTTTTTTCGAGAGAGAGAGAGTGCATACGAGTGGGGGAGAGACCAAAAGAAAGAGAGGGAGAGAATCTTAAGCAGGGTCCATGCCCGGCACAGAGCCCAACTTGGGGCTCACTCTCATGGTGAGATCATGACCTGAGTCAAAATCAAGAGTCTGACACTTAATCAACTGAGCCACCCACATGCCACTCATTTGTTTTGTTTCTTAAATTCTGCATTTGGGTGAAATCATATGGCATCTGTCTTTCTCTGACTTATCTCACTTAACACTACATCCTCTAGATCCATCCATGTTGCAAATGGCAAGATTTCCTCCTTTTTTTTACGCCAAGTAATAGATTCCATGGGATGTGGTTTTTTTCTTTATTCTCACATTTTCTTTATCCATTCACCTATCAATGGACAAGACTGGGGCTGCTTCCATGTCTTGGCTATTGTAAACAACGCTGCAATAACGCAGGGGTGCATATATCTTTTCAAAGTAGTGTTTCCGCTTTCTTTGGGTAAATACCCAGTAGTAGAATTACTGGATCATATGGTAATTCTATTTTTAGTTATTTGAGGAAACTTCATACTGTTTTCCACAGTGGCTGCACCAATTTGCATTCCCACCAACAGTGCACAAGTGTTTCTTTTTCTCCATATCCTCGCCAACATTTGTTGTTTCTTGTGTTTTTTATTTTAGCCATTCTGACAGGTGTGAGTCAATATATCACTGTGTTTTGATTTGCGTTTCCCTGATGACGAGTGACGTTGAGAATCTTTTCATGTGTCTGTTATACATGTGTATGTCTTCTTTGGAAAAAATATCTACTTGTGCCTTCTACCCATTTTTAATTGGATTATTTGCCTTTCTTGATATTGAGTTGTATAAGTTCTTTATGTATTTTGGATATTAACCCCTTATCGGGTGTATCATTTGTGAGTATCTTCTGCCATTCAGTGGATTGTCTTTTTTGTTTTGTTGATGGATTCTTTTACTGTGGAAAAAAAAACTTTTTATTTTGGTGTAGTCCTGATAGTTTAATTTTGCTTTTATTTTCCTTGCCAAAGGAAATATATCTAGAAAAATGTTCCTATGGCTGATGTTAAAGAGATTCCTACCTCTGTTCTTCTAGAGATTTTATGGTTTCAGGTCTCACATTTAGGCCTTTAATCCATTTTGAGTTTATTTTTGTATATGGTGTAAGAAAATGGTCCAGTTTCAGTCTTTTGCACGTTGCTGTCCAGTTTTCCCAACACCATGTTTTTAAAGACTGTCTTTTCCCATTGTCATATTCTTTGTCAAAAATTAACTGACCATATAACTGCGGGTTTATTTCTGGGCTCTCTATTCTGTTTTATTAACAGATGCATCTATTTTTGTGGCAGTACCACACTGTGTTGATTACCACAGCTTTGTAATATATCTTGAAATATGGAATTGTGATACCTCCAGTTTTAGTCTTCTTTTTCCAGATTGCTTTGGCTATTAAGTGTCTTTTGTGGTTCCATACAAATTTTAAGATTATCCTAGTTCTGTGAAATGTGCTGTTGGTGTTCTGATAGAGATTGCATTAAATCTGTACATTGCTTTGGGTGGTGTGGACATTTTAACAATATTTCAGTCTTCCAATTCATGAACATGGTATATCTTTGCATTTATTTGTGTCTTCTTCAATTTCTTTCCATCAGTGTTTAATAGTTTTTGTTGTGCAGGTCTTCACCTCCTTGGTTATGTTTATTTCTAGGTATTTTAATTATTTTTGGTGTGATTGTAAATGAGATTGTTTTCTTTTCTTTTCTTATTTTTTGGATTGTTTTCCTTTTTTATGTTTTATTTGTTTTTGAGAGAGAGAGACAGAGTATGAGTGGGGATGGGAGGGGCAGAGAGAGAGGAAGACACAGAATCTGAAGCCGGCTCCAGGCCCTGAGCTGTCACCACAGAGCCTGATGCGGAGCTCCAACCCATGAATCGTGAGATCGTGACTTGTGCCAAAGTTGGACTCTTAATCAACTGAGTCAGCCAGGTGCCCCTGGATTGTTTTCTTAATTGCTCTTTCTGTTACTTCATATCGGTGTAGAGAAATGCAATGGGTTTCGGTGTTGATTTTGAATCCTGAAACTTTACT